GAAAGTGAGGCAGAGGTTTTCAGTGATAACGACGCAGCCTCTCGCTACGCTGGACGGTTGGCACATAAGGCAAGGCTCTTGGTGGGCTTCTGAACAAGCTGAAATGTGTTCATCTCTCCCCTCTTATCTGCACTTTTGCAGGTACCACATGCGCTACTCCCACATCGATTGAACATGCAGACATCCGCATCAAGAGTTACAACGAGAACTCCAGGGAGCGGTATATTTGTAACTCCGGTTTCAAGCGTAAAGCTGGTACGTCCAGCCTGACTAAGTGCCAGCGTGACGAGGCCACAAACATTACCAGATGGACAATTCCCAGTCTCAAGTGTATCAGTAAGTAGCCATCCCCCACTTTCCTTCCCCTCCACCCTTGCCAAGGCCACACAGAGAGCAGTGTTGCAATGTGGGATGCTGAATGAGCCCATCGGAGGGGCCAAGAGACTTGTGTCGAGGTCTGAGGCCAAATAAACCAATGGGCCTCTAAACGACTCCTCCTGGAGGGGGAAGAAAATACATAGGCTTTGGGGTCTCACAAGTCTGAGTTCAAATCCTGGCTCTGCCACTTACTCTCTGTGAGACCTTGGACAAGGGCCTGAAGATTCCCAGAACTCTTGTTCCCCTTCTAGAAAATGGACCTGATGTAAACACTGTGGCTTGTAGAACGATTAAGTGACACCTGGTAAATATTAACTATCATTACCATCAGTGCTTTAAGATTGTGGTAGCAAGAATCTGGCTACAGGCAAGGCTGTGTGCTCAAGCATGCTTGCTTCCCAGAGAGCTTTTCCAGTTTCTCCCTTGGAGACAGCCTGCAGGGGGATTATTGCCATTCATCCCCACTGGTACCCGCCCCAGGACACTGGGGAGACATACGGGACAAAGAGTCCCTTAACTTGGTCACTCAAGCCTGGTCTTCAGCCAGTGCTCCAGAGCAAGCATGAGAGAGAGTCGCCAGAATCAATGTTTGTTTGTTTTTTAAACCACTTACAGCTGGATAACCATCTCAGGAGCCAAACAATCTGCAGGTGGAAGCCAATAGAGCCATTTCCAGGAATACTCTAGAAAAATAGAGATTAACCCATGGTCTTCCAAGAGAACTCGGATTTAACGTTTTTTGCATAGTTTGGGGCATGTCCAGCAGGAAGCTACATATGTCCTTTCTCATATAACATTTGCAACAATTCCCAACTTCTCTATGGAGGCAGTTGATGAGAGGGGGTTGTTCTATAGCAAACTCACTCTGCTGTGGGACTCCTTGGAGAGCCAGACTTTCTCACTGAATTTGTAGTGTTTAGATCACCCGGTGCCCACTCCCTATGAGACTGTCGTGCAGACTTCAGAGGCAGGGCAAGGAGGAAGCCTTGTACTTGTTGCAGAGGACTGACAGCCCTTTCTCAGGACTATCTTTTCTAGGACGCTTATACTCGTATAGCCTTGGAAGATGGAGACAGCGCCTCCCTCTGGAGAAAAGGCAGACATGTCATGCCATTGATAAAAGACTCAGGTTCCCTGAACTCAGGCTTCATTTTCCCAGATGCAGCCCACTGGATGCAGGGGCCTGTCCCTGTTGCCCCAGCGGGATGGGGGATGAGGGAATTGATGCACATGTGCTGATGCTACTGCTGCTGGCCGTGTGTGCAATCTGTGTTTGCATTTGCATGGGAACTGCAGGATGGGAAATGTTATTTGTTTCTTGTGCTTGTATCGTAGGAAGCCAGATGTGTCCGTTTGAAATGTATATGTTTATTTTTTATTTATATCCAGTACTGAAGCCACCCCAGGTCCCACCCTCAGGATTATAAATGCCATGTGATTGTCCTCTCTCTAGGAGACCCCTCCCTGANTGTGTGTTCACCACCCAGAGTCAGTTCTCCTTCCATCACCATGTATTTGACCCCTTTTACCCTCTTCTACCATCCCCCCAACCCCCTTACCCTCTGGTAACCACTAAACTGTTGTCTGTGCCTATGAATTTTTGTTTCTTTGTCTTGTTCCTTTGTTGCCTTCAGTTTTATATCCCACATATGAGTGAAATCATATGGTTCTCAACTTTTTCTGTCTGACTTATTTCATTTAGCATAATAATCTTAAGTTCCATCCATGTTGTCACAAATGGCACTCTTTCATCTTTTCTTATGGCAGGATAGTATTCCATGGTGTATACATACCATATCTTCTTTATCCAATCATCTATCAAAAGACACTTTGGTTGTTTCCATGTCTTGGCCACTGTAAATAATGCTGCAGTGAATATCGGAGTACATATATCTTTACGGATAAATATTTTCAGATTTTTTGGGTAGATAATCCAGAAGAGGGATTGCTGGGTCATATGGTAATTCTATTCTTAATTTTCTGAGGAACCTCCATTTTCTCTCTTGAGACTAGGAAGAGCAAGTGAAGCCTGGAGTGACTGACCCACTGGTCTGTCTTAGCTCAGATGGGCTCAGGTATGAGGTATGCTGAAACCTTGGTGACAGAGCCTGAAGGGGAGGACTTCCTGAAGTAGGAAGGGGGAGTCTGACAGCTGACCCATCCATGAGCTAGCCTGTCTGAAGTCTGCCTGGCACTTTACAGTACATTGACTTAACCACATTCTAAATTCTGAGTTGGATACTGGGAGTCTAATGAGTAAACACCCTAGTGATTCTGGCAGTCATTCTCTGACAAACAAACCTAGCCATAAACTTAAGAGTATAGGAATCCAGGGATCGATCTCTGGAGGAAAAAGTGGGCAAGACCTGGGCAGAGGGTCAGGTCCCTAGTAAAGAAAGCTCGGGCTTCTAGACAGAGGCAGGCCAATCCACAGGGAGCAGGCAAGAAGGAGGGAGAAAGCTGCTATATGGAGGTCCATGGCTCGTCAAAGCTGACCCCAGATCCTGCCTGATCAAAAGAAGGTTCAGATTGCTGGAAAGCGGGCGCGGATTCTATTGGGGTAAATCAAACAAGACTGGCTTATGTGAAAGACACAGAAAGAGGGCCGGCCGAGTGGCGTGATGGTTAAGAACTGGCTTGGGACACCAGAGGGCCCCAGTTCGGATCCCACATATGAGGGCCAGTGACACTGCCCTC